GGGCGTGGGTCGGTGATGCATCCTGCCGGTACGAAGCGGGCTGCAACAGCGGTGACAGCCCTACGGAACTTACGTTCACCAAGGTGGACGTCGGTTGGTGTAGGGAGGGCAGCGAAGGTATTTTCTGTAAATTCCGCGAAGCCTTTCCAATCAGCTTTTGAAAAGTTGATATATGTTCGGTGCTCCGCGGAAGCAAAGTCGGTTGGTTTATCGATCGAGATGACTATTGGCAGGTGGTCTGATGCCAAAGTCAGCATAGGTCGCCATGATATACTGTTTATCAGACCAGCGCTGTTATGCTGTTTATCAGTGCGTCGTCGTTCATTGTGCAGAATGTCGAATCGTCTATCTGCTCAGCCAAGTCAGTTCCCCTACGATCGTTTGACAGGCTTGAGTGGCAAAGGTCGTGGTGCGCATTAAAGTCGCCTACTACCATACGGTTTTCACCTCTGAGGAGCGCACCTATGTCAGGGTGATATCCTTCCGGGCAGCAGGTGACAGGGGGTATATAAACGTCAAATATTTCGAGCTCAACATCGCCTGACCGGATAGCGATGCCCTGACATTCTAGGGTGGTATCCCTGCGGTCGATGTCTGCGACCGAGCAGCGCAGCACGGGCCCTCGGAGTTCCTCGTCCAATCTCGCGTGGTGCGCAGAACTCAGCATGCCCTAAAGTGGCACCAGCCAAGGCTGACTGATGTCACATTACGGAATATCCTGGTCTGACATACCGTGCAGATTGTAGGAGGAACCAGGAGTTGTTGGCGGCGGCGTGTGGGTGGTGGTGCGGTTGTGTGTATTCTGTGGTCTGTAGCCGTTGTGGTGTGGTCTATTATGTTATGTTGTTGTGCTGTGGTATTTGTGTGGGACTGCTCAGGTGGACTGGGGTTAGCCGTGGGGGCTGCTCTGTTAGAGCAACAGGGGGCCACAAAAGACGTGGTCCACTGCCGATATGTCCGTAGTCCTGAGCAGACTCTGAGGTGACTCCACCCCTCGCAAGCATTGCACTTGACAGAGGTGGAGTTGTGGTGTAGTCGTCTCTGGCATACACAGCAGGTGTAGGTTTCTGGCCCTGGGTTTGACTCGATGCCAGCCCTGAGGAGGAGAAAATGTAGCAAATGTAGCCCTATGGACGAACAACTTCTGAGATACTTCGCCGACCTAAACGGGTTAGATCGCCGAAACAACAGCCCTTGGTCGGGTAAAAACCCGAGTCATTCCGGTACGTAGAACCGGCTGTCGTGGGAATGAGTCTTATCTACCGGTGATATGTATATCGCAATTGGAAAAGCTTCGTTTAGAAATAATTGTTATTTTGTATGATAATTAAATTTGCTCTTAGCAGAAACAAGTGCTGTATAAATCCAAAGTATATTTGAGGTTAACGATAAGTATTGAATTCGATTTAGATTTGGGATAAAAACCGAAAATTGTATGCACCTTAATAGTATTGACTATATATAATAGTATTGACTAATATCGTACGGAGCAAATCAGGATGTACTATTTTTTACCTACTGGGAAAATCCGTTGCTGTTTGCTACTAGGTAAACGCACTATTCGCGTTAGCTAAACTCCGTTTTGCTTAGCAATTTGATATATACATGCATACAAATTCTAATAAGAAGACTGGAACAAGTGAAAAAACTGTTTGGTTGAACGCCAACCCAAACTAAACTTCACTGATGTACATATACAAGTGTTTGTATGTACTACAAATATACGCACCCCAACTATTGATTAAATTTTATGTAAACCGGTATTTTAGGCTACCAGAACTTAGTCAGTTCGCTTCAGATAGGGGATGAACCGTAAATTTTAATCACTTTTTACATAGATACCATTTAGACATCGTTCGGAGTAAATTCGTTGTCGTATGCCTACTGGGTACATGCACTTTGCTCGTTAACTAAATTTCGTTTTGCTGAGCAAATTGATATATACATACAGATTCATCGACGTAGCCAGAATGAAATTTAGGGGGGGGCTCGACCCTATTAAGCTGGCATTTCAGGGTACTATTTTATATATATATAAGGAAAATTTGAAAGTTAGGGGGGAGGGAGGGCGTGTAGCGAAGAAACATAGGCACAAATATTTGGAGTAAGCGCAAAATGAAATGGAATTGAATGCATATGTATATGCATTAACATATGTACACAAGTAGGTCTATATATATGTGTATACCCGACAAGACATTGCTGAGCACTTTAGCAAAATTCTAACACATTTACACTGGTGTTTTTGTATTATGGCATAAATTAGTAGTTTGAATATTAGTGCTGAGGACTTTCTGATGACAACATTGAGGAGAAAGTACTAAATTTTTGCCCATGGCCTGAACGAAAATTAGGACTTTTATAAGCACTTTTGTAATTAGCGATAGTGTCAATACGAGCACTCATATGAAACTCAGCTGTCTTGTAGGGTATCTTCGAAAAGCAACGAGAAATGTGTAATCTTAAAAGAAGCAACGAGTGCGAGAGAATTTAGGGTTTGATGAGAAGCAACGAGTTTACTTATATGTGTACATATATATAACAGCATATACATATGTATATATGTATATTAAAACCGTTTTAGAGCAACGGTTAATGCAGATTGTACAGTTGGTACGTAAGTATATCTGACAAAATATATATGTATATGAATGCACAGACTTACGATTTTTCCTTGATACTTCTCATTTTGTTTGTAAAAGGATTCCACCGATGATGTGCGCATGCCGATACTGTATGTAAGCAGGTTGCAAATATTGGAGGCTCCCGCGATGTGCGCACGTTGATTATTTCCAATTGACTATGCTGGAGTTTAGTCCCACGGTGAGCGCTAATGCTTGGATGGGCGCTTGTTGAGGAAGGTTTCCTTGCGATATGAGTAGTCCCGCGTTGGGCACTGAATTTTTGCGTGCGCCTGTTGCAAATATTTATTCGTTCCTCCGAACAGATTATTAAAAAGTATAGGCTTTAACTTCTCACGAAACTTTTTTGTGGTTGCGTTTTGCTGAACAAATGATTTCCCTCGTTGCAGCGAGCTCAAGACGAAATTTAAATTTTTTGCTGTTCGCTGTTTCTGCTGTTAGGTATTTGCTGCTGGTCGCCGACAAAGAAAGAAAGATGATGTGCAAAATGACAGTTGTGGTCTAGTGTTGCGTAGCGTAGTGTTTTGCTTTGGGTTTTATAGTGTACTTTAATTCAATTCAATATGTACTTGTAATTACAAAGTTTAACTTATATACTGAATGAATGAACAGCGAATAATATTATAAAAAAGCGAATGGACTGTATGCAAATGATTTTCAATATGAATCGTACAATGATAGTTTTAATTCAGTTTAAAGTTAACACTACTTCATTAAATTCAGGTATCGTAGTAATTACATTCATTTAAATATTTAGAAAGGGTTGATTTTAAATATAAGAAAAATTGATTGGTTTTACGTATATGCAGTTTCCCACGTCGATATGATTGTTGTAAATAGAAAAGGCGAATTCCCACGTGTTGTTGTTTTAGGCAAAGCTCCCTCGCTGTCTGACATCCAGGTGATGATGTTGCGAAAATGAAAAGAGACCGGTTTCAAATGCGATCGCTGCATTTATACCTACTCAACACTGGAAGGCATCCAGTGGCGACTTCGAATGCAGACAGGGATGCTTTACAAAAGGAGTTTGCAGGGATGCTTTTCAATTACTGTCGACAGTGATTCATTGCGATTTAAATGGATCCAAGTCCTTTAAACAAATTCTATTAAAAAGAATTATTATTTTTTCCATCATTTCATCTCTGTAATTTAAATGTTTTAGAACATTGCCCACAGAACTCATATTAACTTTTTTAATCGCATCGAAATAATCTGGTAATTTTAATTACATATGTATGCATAAGGGAAAAGGCTAAAAATCCGTAAAAAAAAATTCTCAAAAGGCTGGATTTCCCGCTTTCCGCAATTTCTCATTTCCTGCCGCTAAATGGGCTTTGAAAAAGCCAGGTCTCGCATCGTAACGTCCGTTCACGGATCGAAAGCGATACGAAAGAAAATTACGTGATACGTCAGGCAGCATAAGCTGAATGGGACAAAGAGTACGTTTACGTATTTCATCATCCGAAAAATGTGTTTTTACGTGACAGGTAGTACGATATCGTTTGTTGCGATTCGAGCCCAGATTTGACGGGAAAATAGCTAAATTGGCAGCCCTGCTCATACGCCAAGTACGATTATGTACGAGTACGGTCATGTACGATATGACGTATGAGTAACATTATTTCCTGCTTCTATTTCATATTAAAAATTATTACACATATTCATTTGACCATTCAAAAGGGATTTATTTGTCCACTGATTTTCATCGTTAGTGGCTTAATTTTTTGGTAACAGAACAGGCTTTAACCATAATTAAGTTTACGTGTCTCGACGTTTTTTGTTTCAACAACAAATTCGTTTAATTTGAAAATGTATACACTTGTTGCCATTTGTAAATGAAAAAAGTAAGAAACTATTTCTTCACTTAATTAATTTAGTTATTTCCATAAATTTTAAAGATATTCTGCTGAAAAGGCTGTATTCATAATCGAAATGCAGCTGAAACCACAGTCGATATTGGAAACCCCATAGGGACTACAAAAAGAAAGTATTAATCAGAAGAAATATACATATAGGTCCTGTTTTTGTCTGTCAGAAAGAATTTTAAAAAATCCATAAATTTTTTTTTGTTTGAAATGCAACTATGGACACCAGCCTGGTAGTGAAGCTTGCGAATTCTGGAAAATGTGCGTTCGTGCAGAAATTGCAACTTTCTCTATTTGAGAGAGAATTTTTTCCTACTCTCTAAAATTTTTATAATGGATAATTCTTTCTGTACGTTTTGACGAACATATCTAATAAGCTGCTATGTTAATGGTTTACAAATACATACATAAAAATTTTTGCTTACATTTATTTGCAATTGTTCTCTAAAGAACAACGTACTTTTATGACTACTTTCCTTTTCACTTTTTTCAGAACTGTAAAGATATCCACTATGTCAAGGCTAATGATAACTGCAATCAGCCACTAATCACGCCAGCGAAAAAACTTTCAGAGATTGCTGCGGAACACATACGCAAGACATCCTTCGAGGAAGTACCTCTTCACACTGCCTGTCTCACATATTTAGGCTTCTATTTGCTTATGATTCTTGGTTATATAAACCAGTTGCTCTTTGTGCCAAAGGTCGCTAAGGAGGAGAATCGTGATGGCTATGTAACACTCTATGATGCCTTTGAGAGTTTCTACTCGCGCTATGTGTATCGACGTGTGCGTGATTGTTGGAATCGCCCGATATGCAGTGTGCCCGCTGCGGAGGTTACTCTCAAAGACCGTGTGACTAACGACTACGGCTGGAGCTTTCAATTTACTGGAACTGAGACGCTTTGCTTGAATTTGGGATCTTATAATTATTTGGGGTTCGCTGATGCCCAAGGTCCTTGTGCACAGGATTCCGAAAATACAGCCCAGGAAATGGGTTTGGCAATGACTTCGTCACGAGTTGAGTTAGGCACAACACAACTGCACTTGGACTTGGAGTGTTTGACTGCACGCTATTTAGGTGTAGAAGATGCAATTGTATTTGGGATGGGATTTGCCACGAACGCGCTTAATTTGCCTTCCCTGATTTCACCAGGTTGCCTTGTGTTAAGCGATGAAAAGAACCATGCCTCGATCATTTTGGGTCTACGGCTATCGGGAGCCACAACGAAGGTGTTTAAGCACAACAATATGAGCGATTTGGAGCGGCTGCTTCGATATAATGTGGTCCATGGCAATCCGAAAGAGAGAGGCAAACCCTGGAAGAAGATAATGATTTTGGTGGAAGGTGTGTTCAGTATGGAGGGCTCCGTCGTGCGTTTGCCAGAGATTATTGCTCTTAAAAAGAAATACAAAGCTTACTTGTATTTAGATGAAGCACACAGTATTGGCGCCATGGGCCCGAATGGAGGTGGTGCTGTTGATTACTTTGGCGTGGATCCTAAGGATGTAGATATACTGATGGGCACTTTCACGAAGAGTTTCGGTAGCGCTGGAGGCTATTTAGCCGGTTCGAAGGTATGCTTAATTTTGCGAGTCATTGAGATTCGTATTTAGTGAATCTGTGTTTTGAAACATTATTTGCAGCAACTAATTGACTTTTTGCGCACAAACAGTCATGCACATTGTTATGCCAGTAGCATGTCACCTCCCATTGCTCAGCAGATTTACACTTCGATGAGCATTATAATGGGACAGGATGGCACCGATACTGGTCGTAGGAAGATCAATCAGTTGGCGCGGAATACACGCTATTTCCGTCGCCGTTTGGCACAAATGGGTGTTATCACTTATGGGCACGAGGATTCGCCTGTGGTACCCATGTTGGTGTACTTGTTTTCGAAAATAGGGTGAGGCTTTGAGGCATTTGTTTGCCATCCCTTGATGTATTTGCAATGTTTTAATTTGTTTTTACTTATTTTAGTGCCGTTGTGCGCACATTGACAACACGCCATATCGCCGTTGTTGGTGTCGGGTTTCCAGCAACACCAATAATGGAGGGGCGTATACGCTACTGCCTTTCAGCAGCACACACCAAAGAACAATTAGACTATGCACTTGAAGTCATCGATGAGATAAGTGACACGCTAGGCCTAAAATACTCGCGAAAACCACGCGAACCTAACCCCATTGAGTATTGAAGAAACAAAATCACCGCGTATATAACCCGCAAGCAAAGATATTATTCAGTCCTGGTGAAAAAAGCGCACGAGTAACTGCATACAAATTATGTGTATAAAGTAATTTAGTAAATGGTTGTAATAAGATTAACCCATTATGAGCTCGGTGAGAATTAGGAGATGAAGTTTAAGTAGTTATTTTGGTGGCTTTTGTATTCCTTAGTCTATATTTACAATTTACCTAAACATTTTCAACATGAAATCTATGTAAGCACTTTGGTAATCTAAATAGGAAACAATTTAACAGTTTTAAAGTTAATTGCGAAAGATAACTTTTGAACAATAGTTGCACAAATATGTATGAATATTATTCGTATGCACTGCCAAGGCGGTTCAAAATTGAAGCAAAGGCGTTGGATATATTTATCGCTGTATGATATTGTGCGAGGATTTTTGTCACTAAATTCATCTATACTATTTGTTACTTAAACTTACTACGGTGATTTTTAACGAAATTTAATGAATAGAGATATAATATCAAATTTTCTTTCTAACCCTTGAATAATTTGAAAATAAAAATTAAAATCTTATTCCTAGGAAGAAAGTAATTCCATACCAACTGGAAATGGAAATAAAGCCAATATGGTTTTATTGGCCTTTGCAAATTTCTGTTTAGAAGTAATAGAACAATATTTAAAACAAAGAAACAATTTAAATTTCATTATTAAAATAAAACAAGTAAGAGCAGCGCGGTCTTCGGCTATGCCGAATGCTTCATACCTTTCATGAACATCTGAAAATTTTACTTTAGCAGATTACTGCATTTGAAAAAATTTATATATTCACACATAGATATATAAAAAAGCATATCTAAACAATCAGAGGTATGGAAGATATACCTTATATAGCACCAATCTAAGTGATTTTCACTGCACCGGTATGTAAACCGGTAACACAATTTAATGGGTTTCGCTTCCTACATGAAGGATATGTATATCGCAAAAACTGGTATCTGAACAATCAGTGGTATAAGAGATAATCCCAACTAACCAACTCTCCAGAACAAAACTCTTACAAATTACGAAAAGATCTCATAAGACTCTTTTAACATACTTGGATAAACTCATAACATAATTCTTGTAAAAAGACTTAATTTAGGTCTCATAGTACTATTTTTTGTGAGATAATAATGCTACTAGAGTTAGTAAGCCTTTAAATCTCATAATAAGACCATCTTGTACCTTTTTTATAAAACTTCAACTCTCAACGAGTTATACTCTTGAAAAAATGCCCATATGAGTAGTAAATTGTTATGATACTTATAAGAAAACTCTTGTAAGATATAAAGTATAAAACAACTTATAAATATGCCCTTATGAGACGTAAAATGTTAAAACACGTATAAGAAAACTCTTATGAGTAGAAAAGAATCATTATTCTCATAAACACTACAATAGAGCGCACTTATATCAAGAAAAATATTCTGTCAGCCAACATACCTTGTTTCAGGGTTGATCCGTCAAAATGGATAAGTTTAATTGGAAAAAAGTTAAAAGATCCACTAATTTGCGAAGGAAAATTCAGAAGATGTGCCTTAAATTAAAAGATAACACGTCCAAGAGTGTTACAGCCAATAAAAGAGTTACTGCGAATTTTAAACAATATTCTAAAAATAGTGCGCGGTCTGCGGACAATTTATATCAAAAATCTGTTCGTCCAGAATATAACAGCTGTAATCATATTCAGAACAACTCGAATGAAGGTCACGATGCAGAAATTTCTCTTGATAATATAAAAGCACCATGGCATGTAATTAACACGAAAAGTAATTAAATTAAATGTTGTATTCCCTTTCAGCAATATGATGATGAGGAATACCAGATAATCGATACTGGGTTAAAAAAAATTAAGTTTATGGAACTGAATTAAAAAATTGGGCAATTCTGTTTATTATAAGGCACCAAGCATTAAAACGATTGTTACAAATATGTAATAAACGAAACCCTGATTCATTGCCAAAAGATGCAAGAACGTTGGTACAAATACCAACTGTTACTACAATTCAGGCAGTCGGTTTGGGTGCCCAATATTGGCACCAAGGGCTTGCATTTTGTTTACAACAATGTTTTGCCAATATCAAAGAATCGTTAGGAATTTCCATTAACATCAACATTGATGGCTTACCAATATATAAGAGTTCCAGAGAGGAGTTCTGGCCCATTTTATTTAATATATATGAAGAACCAATGGTCATCGGTATCTATAGCGGCAAATAGGCCTGGGTAACGGCGCAAATTTTTTGGCGCTGACACACTACCTTCAGCGCCATTGTCGGAATCAGCACAGTGTGTTGGCGCAATGGCGCCTCTTCAGGATAAAGCTCATTTCCTTTATTGCTGCACGCTGCACTAAAGTGAATTAATACAAGGTTATAGTTATATCGGTTGAGAAAAAACTCAAGTATACCCAAGTTCAAAACCCAAAAATACAACAAACCAATCATTTTCACATTCAGAAGACAGCGACGAATTCTAGCAACACCACCTTGTATAAATTCGCCTTGTGCTGCACAATTTACAAGAGACACTTCTATTTCGGGTGTTCTTTGCTGGTTCTTTGCGACACCCGGTGTTGTCAGTGTTCCGGTGTTGAACTAAGCTGAATTAATACAAGGTGGTATCGGTTGGGCAAAACCAATTCAAATATACCCAAGTTCAAAACCCAAAAATACAACAAACACATAATTTTCACATTCAGAAGGACCGCGGGTAATTTTAACCACACCACCTTGTAAAAATTCGCCTTGTGCGGCACATTTTACAAGTGACACTTCGCTGTGTTCTTTGCGCCGCCCGGTGTTGTCCGTGTTCGGGTGTTGATGGTGTCATTGCGTCACTAAGTTGTGACAATCGGTATCGGCGCCAGTAACTCAGCTCTCGGTATCAGCGCAATGGCGCGGCGCCGCACTGTGTTACCCACGGCTAGTGGCAAAGGTAAACCACTCAGTCTAGAGTTGTTCATACGACCGTTTGTGGATGAAGCGAAAGAAGTCCTGACCAATGGAGTTACCATCAATGGACAGCATAAAGTTGCCGTTAAAATCCACTCTTTCATAGGTGACTCTCCAGCACGGGCTTTTATAAAAGGTAAAAAGGATATTTATATATATATATGTATATATATTTTATATTAAGCGGGTCTTTGCACAAATATGTAAATAGGTGTTACTTATTTCAATGGTCAACACGGATGTCAAAAGTGTACAACAGTCGGAAAATATTCTTACGTTTCACATTCCAATATTTTCCCGAGAACAGAATGTATTAAAAGAACAGACGAAGGGATTTCGTAACAGGATTTATGATTCACACCATAAAGTTAACACTTCGCTTGAAGAACTGCCCGGTTTAAATATTGTTGATAACTTTCCAGTTGCAGATTCTCTGTATTTAATTGATTTAGGTATCATGAGAAAGTTCTTGATTGGATGGAGAGGTGGCAAGTTTAACTTTCGGTCAAAATGGAGTGCAAGGGAAAGCTACGGCATTTCACAATGCTTACAAAACATCAAAATGCCCTCAGAACTTCATCGAGCTTTAAGGGGATTAGATTGCCTGGCACATTGGAAAGCTTTGGAATATCTCACATTCTTATATTTAGTCTGTTCCAATAGCAGTCCGGTTTACAGGATTTAGTCAGAACTTACAGGAAGTCGTTCCTATTGACATAAAACCTGTAAGTGGGAACACTTTTGAGAGAGTAACTGAGCAACTGTTCCTAATCAGAAGTTACAGGATTTAGTCCGGAGTTTTTTTTCCTGTAAGTGTCAAACGATCAGCTGATTTGCATGTGCAAGCAAAAGCAAAAAGCGGTGAAAGCAAAGAACCTTATATTTGTAAAAAAATGGAAGTAAACAACGAAATGTTTGAATGTGTATAGATTTTAATTATTTAGTGATATTTCAGCCAAATCAGTGTTGTACAAATGACATGTAAACAAACCGGCTGACGTTTTTACAGGAAATAGTGCTTTTTGCGTTCCCGTGCACTTCTGCATCTGTTCTTCTTTTACTCTCACTTGAGAGAGTAAAATTGTAGTTTGACAGTTCCACAGGTTTTAGTCCGAAGTTCAAAGGAACAGCCTAATTATATAGGAGTTGTAATACTGAAGGATCGTTTACCACACGATGTATACCAGCATTTCCTTGTATTTTTTTGTGCTGTCACAATATGCTCCTTAACTGCATACAGTACATATCTCGATATAGCTCATACTTTGTTCCTACACTTTATTGAATACTACAGAGACATTTATGGTGAAGAGCATATAACTAGTAATGTGCATAACCTGTCGCATATTATTGATGATGTAAAAAGACTTGGTATTTTATCAACATTTAGTGCTTACCCTTTTGAAAGCAAATTGTAACAGATAAATAATATGTTACGGTATGGAAACAAGGCTTTGGCGCAGGTAGCCAGACGACTAACTGAATTTAGTAATTTGCAAATAAAGGCTAGTGAATATGTTAATAACGAATTACCGATTTTAAAAAATAATACAGTTCAGCAGCCGAATGGTTTTTTACTAAGCCCCCAAAATCGGGACAAATGGTTTCTTACAACTGGAAATAAGATCGTGTGCGTGAAGAATGCTACATTAACTAATAAAGAGATATCTGTCTACAACATCAGGAAAGTTTTTTAGAGACGCCGATACGTTCTTCATTCCTCAATATATAATCCTCAGATTGCAAAGAAAAAGCAGCACGGATATGTAGCTTCAAAGATATTAAATTTAAACTGTTATCTGTGAAATATGACGACAATTCAACAGTTTTCATTCCGTTACTTCACACTGCTAAATAAAAAGTTTTTTAATTATAATATAAACTCTGTATTTAAAACTAAGTAAACAAAGTACTCACTTTATCAGTTCATTTAAATAATTAAATTAAATAAATATGAAATAAAGTAATTTCTTTAAGTAAATAAACATCAACTTTTTCATCAATTAGTAAACATTTCTTTTCTTGCAACTTTTAATACTCTTTGTGTAATAAGCCTCCTCTGCCCTTGAGTAAGAGTTTATTATTTATATTTATTAATTTTTGTCAAATATACTTTTAATATTTGAGGCACTATAATATGGATGTACATCAGTACTTTTTTAATTATAATATTAACTCTGTATTTAAAACTAAATAAACAAAGTACTCACTTTAACAGTTCTTTTAAATAATTAAATTAAATAAATAAGAAATACAGTAATGTCTTTGAGTAAATAAACATCAACTTTTTCATTGATTAATAAACATTTGCTTTCTTGCAACTTTTAATACTTTTTGTGTAATAAGCTTCCTCGGCTATTGAGCAAGAATTTATTATTTGTATTTATTAATTTTTGTCAATTATACTTTTGATATTTGAGGCACTTCAATATGGCTGTACATCAGTCTTTTTTTTAATTATAAAATAAACACTGTATTTTAAAAGTAAGTAAACAAAGTATATACTCAATTAATCATTTAATTTAAGGCTTCAAGATGTTCATCTGCCTCAACACCTTCAACATCACCATCAACATTATT